CCCCCTGCCTGCTCCCCTCCCCCCCCCCTTTTTCAATTTAAGAAGGAAAGTGAAAACCTGCAGGAAACTTGGAAAAGCTGAGCTATTGAGAGGTCAGAGAGGAGTCATTAGTAATGAGCTAAAATGATCCTCTGGTCATTTTTCACCGTGTTTAGGCTGGTGTTATTCTGTATTCCTTATTGTCAATAAATCCCATGAAAAAATATGTCTTCGTCCCACATTTCCATAGGTTCCTGGTGATGATTCGTAAGTATCCTACATCTAAATGTATAGCTCACCATAGAATAGGCTGTCTGTTGTGTTAAATGGAATTGCATTTAAATAGTGCTTTTCTAGTCTTCTGACCCCTGAAACAAAAGTATTCTACTCTATAAATGACAATATGTTCCCTCACACACACACACACACACACACACACACACACACACACACACACACACACACACACACACACACACACGAGAGACACGACCGACGACACCACACACACACACACACATACACACACACTGATGGGCCACCATACAAGGTGCCAAACTACTTATCGCCTCATGCTCTTTTACACACACCTAGACTGAGTGATTTCAGATGTTACTCAACAATGTGTTACGGTCCATTTCTCAACATTTTCTGACTTGCACGCCTTGTCTGCGGCTCTTATCCATAAATTCAGTTGTTCTATCAAATAACTTTAGAAAAAGGGTCACACAAAACGATATTCTTGTTTTTTAAAATGCTAAATCATTTTGTAGAATTCTGTCCCAAATGCTTCTCAAAGAAGAGGTATTTATTCATTTTTTAGGGACTGTTTCCAGCAGCAAATGTAGTGTGAAACTGCATATTTATCTGTGAAAGCTTGTTGTGCGTGGGTTAGACGGCCAATATGCAACATCAAGATGAAGGTAAATGTCACCCTGCAACAATGCTTCAATAAAGGTCTGTGGCTCAGAGGAATAAGACACATTAAGCTTTGGCTATCAGACAATAAAAGGAATAGGAACATTATCCTTTAAAGTCCAATCCCTTTGATGTGAGCAGTGGCCAGCTGTATTTGCTTACAGTGGCACAAATTATTTAGAATTTGATCATTATCATATCAGTAATTGTGCACTTTCCGGAGCAAACATAATTAGGCTAATGGCCCCAGCAGAGGTGGATTGAGTGACACCTGTAGCGTGGTGTGAAGGTTTAATGATCAGAGCTGCTTTCTTTTTCTCAGAAACCGATTAATTACACCCAAATCCTCCTGACAGTTGACATCTCATTAAGCTCCTCCTGGTAACAGACTTTAAAGCTTGCTCTATTCTCAATTTGGGGGGAATAAAGGTGAGATAATCAAGGCGCCTGTCTTATTCTGCACACAGTCAAACAGAGAGAAGGGGATGGCAGCATCTCAAAGCACGTGGCCTCGTTAGGCGCACTTTGATGGAAAGATAGGACGCTATGTTTGGCTGGTTTTCAGAATATTCAAGACTTCCTGTCAGACAGCTCTTGCTCTTCACCTTGTCCATTTAGTAGTACAGTTATCAAAATAAAAGGTAGTTAGAGTGCTTTGATGACAACAAAAAAGGGTGGAAAAACGTTAGCTAGCATGTCTTGCCAGTCACACTAAACTAATTTGCATAATTAAATCTCGTCAGATTGCAGGCATGGTCCTGAAGACAAGAAGACATTTTATAACTAGGTGTAAATGCAAAGATCTAGATCAGGTGTAGTGATCAGTCAAATGCATCCAGATACAAATCACATGTTACAGTAATACCATGTAAATGGGACTTTCAGGTATATAGGCACATATCGGGGCAGTAAAATCAATTTTAGGATGACGCCTTATCTGTTTTCCAGGACCTCACTTACTTTGAGGGAAATTTAAATGTGCACGTTCTGAAGCCTCATCCATTTAGTATAATATGTAATATCTATTGTATAATACATCTTACATTGAAAGGGGTCAGCGTAGATGGGAGACTTTCTTGTATAATTGACACTTTTCTAATGACACCAATTTCTCAGAGGTTGACTGCATTACTGTAAAGGCTGTGGGAGCAGAGAGAGGTATTGCCAATAATAAGCAGGTATAGACTAAATCATGAACTGGCACAGGCACACAATCCACATTCATGCTCTCACACTGGCTCTGATTGGAGCAAATAAAGGCCAGTGCAGGTTGATTCTGCAGGCAGCTCTTCAAAGGTCAACATCTCTTTACCTGGAATCGGCAAAACAAATCGGATAAATAGAGAAAAGTTTAGCGGCTGTCTCGCTCAAGGTGTGTGTGTGTGTGTGTGTGTGTGTGTGTGTGTGTGTGTGTGTGTGTGTGTGTGTGTGTGTGTGTGTGTGTGTGTGTGTGTGTGTGTGTGTGTGTGTGTGTGTGTGTGTGTGTGTGTGTGTGTGTGTGTGTTTGAAAGAGTTTATTCAGCCCTACAGCTCCAATTACTGTAGCTTGTCAAAGAAAAATAAATACATCCAATAGGAAAACATCTCACAAAAACCTGCAGACATTGCAGAAGGCAGACAAAGAGGAACATCATTAACACAGACTCAGTTTCTCAAAATATCCCACATACAGTAAATGTGCACTATTATCTAAAGCCTGATCTCACAGCATACGGACTGTCGGTACTGCTGTTTTGCTTTTTTCACCATTAAGAACTGAAAGGGCTCAAGGAGAGGCCAAATGTTTCCTCCTTTGAGCCACATAAAGCAGCATGTTCTTGGTGATTAAGGGATGGTTTGCAAAGTTTTGGGTGCGATATAAATGAGGAAAGCAGCCACAGACCATCACCCACATTGGTGAAATCACAGCCTATGAAAAGAAGATATGCACATTAAGTTAATACGGGTCATAAACACTGTCCAGCAGGGACATTAGATAGAGCTATCGTCACATTTTGAAGCATCCCTAGCTCTGATGAGGGCATAACAAAATGTGTGGGCATTTGCATGGAGTGTAAGATGTCTAAATGCATGCACTGTTGCTGTGTTAATGTGGATGTGTCACCCTGTGTGTGAGCCAATCATTTTTACATCATCAGCAGCAACACCTCAGATGACCCTGTAGGGAACATTCTGGAGCGATGCACCCACCCACACCCGCTCTGTCAGAGGGTGCATCAGCAGCCAGAGAGCAGCAGAAAGAGCCCCCATGGGTGGAGGTGGGAGAGGGACACTAAGCATATGAAAATGTTGCAGTGTGTCAGCTGTCAGGAGGAGGTTGTGAATAATGAAGTTCCCGCACTGCAAAAAACTCTAATTTATCTTTAGAGCTGCTGTAAAACTTGTGGATGAATGTTGCTTTTTCATTTACTTTAAAGGGATCTGATGAGCACTACAACATTGAAAAGGAAATTCAAATCTAGAATTCAAAGATTCAAGCCTGATCCAGATCAAATATCACTACAAACGAGCACATATCTCTCATCATTTATCCCTGAAGGGCAAACTGCATTAAAAAAACGTTTCCTCCAAATCCTTTCCTCTCTGAGGCGAACGCTAGTACTTTCCACTCTGCTGTGCCTTACTGCTTATCTTTCTCACTGAATGATATGTCTCCCTGAATGAACTGTAACACTGTGCTGCATGGGTCTGAATTATAGGCCTCTGAATTACTGACTGAGGAGCTCATAAGCCCAAAAAGATTACAGCAGCGGTGTCCTGAGTAGCAGTGCTAGTCGAAATCCATTCTGTTTTAAGTGCTTTTATCAATAAATATTTCATGTTGGCAACATCAATTATGAATCAAGAAACAGAATAAAGAACTGAGAGAATTTAGGGATGGTACGGCAACTGCAAGTTTATAAATAACACAATTTCAATTATCACATTTATAGAACTGTGTCAATTTGCACCCGGGTGTTTCTAGCTTCACCACAGTTATTCAGCTTTTTACACCCACCCAACCCCAAACCCCTTTCCCCCTTCCCTTTGTCACATAATGCCGAAAAGTGTGGAATTAGGATACAAAGCAAGACCAGGGTGTAAATAGCATTGTTCACTATAATCACCCTGGTGCAAATACGACTGCCTTATAGTTATTGCTAAAAATCGAAATATGAAAATATGAAAAATAGAATAATTGTTTCGTCCAAACAAAAAATCTTGATATCACATTTAACTGGGAGGTTGTTAAGGACATGTACACAATTCAAACGGGAAGAAGAACATTTTTCAGTTCTCCCTGAAACCAGGGCAGCACATGAAGCTTCAAACAGCTTTTTTCAGTGAATACCTGAACCCTACATTTACATGCTCATCTCTCTGCCCAACCTGCATGCCAGCAGAATACAGATTAGGCGCGTTTTATATTACGCATTTGCAAAAAAGCCACAGCAATGGAAAAGCTCTGTAATTATTCGTTTCCCTTTGAGAGCCACTCTGACGGAAAACAATGATTTTAGAACAGCTGCTCTTATATCAGTTGTGATGAAAGCTTTTAGAATGATGCAGTGTTGAAAGTGGACAGATGATGTGACCGCCGTTATGCATTTGGTTTTTAAACAACATGAGGACAGTGGAGCTTCTGTGGCATTATATTGGTATTTGTGCACACATTGCGTTGTATTGGTCTTTCAGAGGCTGTTATAAATTGACTTTTAATCCAGTTTAAAGCCCCATTGTTTTAGACACACTATGACTACAACATCCATCATTCAGAAGGGAGTTTGTAGACACACTCATGGTGTGTGTTTGGTATAAGCTGCTGTGTATTTTTGTGTAAAAAAAGGTTATTTTCAAGGACCGTGTGCATGTATGTCCAAATGCACTGTCCAGTTAAAGGATAGCCACTGTGGTTATTACTGTGACTGAATCACTGCAATGGACAAAATCTGTCTGACACACATATCAGTCAATAGAGTTATATAAGTGACTTAACTGCGCTCTTTTTTGTATTTTTTTCACCTCATTTTGTGCAACCAAAAGCACTTTGTTCAGCTATCCATCTCCATTGTACCTCTGCCAGCCTTTTATGTGCTCACTCCAAAACATTTAAAAGCCACTTCTCACCTTCCAGCACATTATCCCCCCAAATCCCTCTTCCATCTCCATGCAGACACCAAATGCAATGACAGGAACCTGATTCCTCACCCCAAACACTGCCTCTGTTTTTGTTGTAACACACAACCAAGCTGAGATTCAATACATCTGTAGCATCGGATGAATGTTTGCTGCTTTGTGCCCGTCTGCACAACTCCTGCATATTTTATTTCTTTGAAAGTAAGACATATTTTTTTGTATTATTTTCAAAGAAGACAAATACGATACAATGGCATAAAGACCCTGATTAATACAATCAACTCTCATTTGTTTTCCTTCATACGCACTACCTAGCTTTAACATATTATTCCAAACGTTTGGAGCTCAAATAACATAAATATTCTAATGTTCAAAGGATGAATCAGAGGCAACAGGATCATTGTGCATCCTTAAATTGCATGAGGACACAGATCAGTGCACATTCACAGATGGTGCATATTTACCTTTCGATCCATGACACCTGTGTACCCTTCAAGTGCTGCTGTCTGGAGTCTCTGAGGTTTCTCTGGCTTTTTCGTGGATGTAGCCGCACCATCTGAACGGTGGGACGGTGCTGATGATGCCGATGAGGAAGACGATCTTTCGCCAGTGCTACTGTTGTACATCAACATCAAACTGGTAACCATGGTGACGATGATGATGCCACTAACCCCTTGGCACTGGAGAGGCACATGAGGGATGTTTAGTTTGATTGAATTAATTCAGCTTCAGAGCTCCTTTTTTGGATGAAAAGCTACTAATTAGATGTCAAATGTTCAAAGTAGAGGCGCCATAACATTTGCAGCAGATCTTTTCCTCATGCATGATGCAAATGAAACGTCAGCTGTGCCACTCAGATGCGCTCAACATGCTCATGTCAACAGAGAGCGGAGCAAAAATAGCTGCTGAATTCAAGCTGTTGAATGATGTGCGTGATCCATTTGCATTATGTCACAGAAATAAGATACATTTAAGCGACTGTAAAAAACAAAAATATAACAAAGTGCAATTATGTCACTGTAGATTCTATAATGAGAGCTCAGCCTGCAGTTCACTTTAAGAAAACAGTAAACCTGCCCACAAAATGAATGTTTCACTGATGTCTCATTCATAATTACCACTCTTATCTTCATCTTCATTTCCCCTCGTTTCCAGCCTTCATCATATCATCCTTTAAAGCTCTCTCACAGAGCGTCGGGATTCTTCAGCATGCAACACTTGAGCAGCCAGCATCACTGGGATCAGCAGCTCCAGAAAACGACGCTCCACTACTCTTCACCCATGCTCTCCTCTACAGGGACGCCCTCGCTCCACACGGCGCTCCTCATGGTCCTAAACAACTCTGCTTCCCTGCTTGCCTCCTTTCAGGGTTCACTGGGGGTTCATGAGGCTGTAACAATTACACATGCACTTAACATCATGATAACAGTTTTCATTTCAAGGGAGCTCTGTGGTTCTCAAATGTGTGTTTATAATGACATTTTTACACATTTGTGTTTCCATTTCTAACCATATCAATTTACAAAATCATTCCTTTACAGTTTTCTACGGGCACAATTATCAAAATGATAGTAATTATTCTAAAACACAATAGCTCATTTTCCCACAACTGTAGATGTATTTTTTATTGCTTTCATACATGATCACATTTATTTTCAAATTGCCTTCAGTGAATTGCAGTGATTCATTCAGTCTGGATGATCACATTTTTGTTAATCAATTAGCTAATTGTGTAAGTTCCCACATCCTAAACTGTAGTCATCCTCGTCATACCACATGTTGTTATATGGAGGGCTTTGGTGTTTTTTAAATGGAGTTTCTACTTCTGTACGTTACCATTTTTCAATTGAAATGAAGATTTTTTTTCTTTACAGAGGTGTCACGTTTATAATCATTCTCATCGGTCATGACCATACAGTATACGTTGGTTTGCTGAGAAGAATGCATGCTGCCTTTTTCCACAGCTATCAGACAAAGGCTACATGAAATGGTAAAGATGAAGACATTTTAGATATTGGTTTTTCACTTTGTAGTTCCTGAAAACTATTTCTGTTCAATAAAACGCAATCACAGCTTTCAATGCATATCGTTTTATTTCAATAGAAATTCAGTGGAGGTTTGTTTCTGTAATGAGCTGACTTTATCGAGACTACGAAGTTGCTAAGTGACTGAGAGAAAGTGTTATGAAGAAGGAAATCTGATGATAATTGTAATACCTAGTTAAACACAACTTCAGTGGCCTTTATAGTTTGGCACAAGGTCTTGGGTTACACAATAAAATTA